TATCCTGAACTAGGGGTTGCGCATTTCTTGCGGCGCTTTCCATCCCCATTCCTGTCGTACCAGTCAAGTCAACTGGGCAGATATGATGACTTCCTAGTGTGAACTCTGCCACAAAGTATGCCAAAGCTTAGGCTTTCATTGCGGTTCTGGGCTAAAACTTGATATCAAATTGTCCCAATTCCACCGCCCATTTCAAGATTCGCCCAGAAAAGTTCGCCCTCTCAAATAAAGCTTTTAGGGAAAAAGCTGTTAGGGCAATTATAGTGTGGGCGTGGAAGTAATGCGACAGCTTCCTTGAGGCCATCATCAAGGCTAAGGCCAGTTTTTCCAATGGTAAGTACCTGATTTCTGCGCCCAGCAAGGTCTTGCTAACATAAAAGATGGGCAGGTGTTGGATTCCTTCCGCTCTGACCAACACCGCGCTGACTACGTACTGTGAAACTGCCAGGTACAAAAAGAGCTCTTCTCCAGGCATTGGGGTTACTAGCAATGGTGGAGAAGACATGTATTCTTTCAGGTCTTCTAGGGCGCGGTCGCATTCTTCGTCCCACTCAAACTTGGCCTTTAGTGCTTGGAAGAATGGTCGACATCTGTCTGACGACCGACTTATGAACCGATTGAGCGCGGCTGCTAGGATAGTGAGATGCTGCACCTCTTTAACTGTGTTGGGTCTCTTAAGATCCTGGATTGCTTTGATCTGAGAGGGGTCTGCTTCTATACCTCGATTGGTTACCAGAAAGCCCAGGAATTTGCCAGATCCTACGTCGAATGCACACTTGGATGCATTTAGGCGCAACTTGTTCTTCTTCAGAATCCGGAACATCTCACCTAGGTCCCTGAGATGGTCCTTCTCATCCTTGCTCTTGACCACCATGTTGTCTATGTAAGCCTCCATTGTTTAGCCTAACAATGGCTCAAACGTCTTGGTGACCATTCGCTGGAATGTTGCCCCTGCATTCTTTAGGCCAAAGGGCATGACCTTGTAACAATACAATCCTCTTGGCATTGTAAAGGATGTGACCTCTTGGTCTAGTTCATACATAGCGATCTGATGGTAACCTCTGTACGCATCGAGGAAGCTAAGTCGATTGTGTCCTGCCGTCAGGTCTGCCAGTTGGTTTATCCGTGGTAGGGGAAAGCTGTCCTTTGGGCATGCCTTGTTGACTGTTTTGTAGTCCATGCAGACATGCCATTTTCCGTTCTTCTTTGGCACTACTACGGTATTGGAGATCTACCTGGGGTAGTGCACTTCTCTGATAGCTCCTGCCTCCAGCAAGTTTCCTACTTCTTCCGCCACTATCTTGGCATGGTGGAGTGCTGATCTACAAATGTGCTGTATGACTGGTCGGGCAGTTGGGTGGACGTTCAGTTGGTGACAGATGAAGTTTGGGTTAATTCTAGGCATGTCATACGGTGTCCAAGCAAACACTTCGATGTTAGAGGTTAAGAATTCCATGACCTCTATTCTCTCAGTGCTGGACAAAGACGAGCCGAGCAAAAAGAACTTTTCTGGGTCTTTTTCATCTATCCTTACCTGTACCAAGTCTTCTACTGCCTTTTGTTCAGCTGCCTTGCCAACGTCCACAAATAGTTCATTGCTTTCAGGTTCTTCCATCTACATAGCCTTTGGCAGCACGACTGCCATTTACTGTGACGAAGCACTGTTTTAACATAATTTGGTCTCCAAAGACCTCTTCTATCACTCCGGCTTTGTTGGGGAACCGTAATACCTGATGGTAGATTGACGCTACCGATCGCATGACATGCAACCATGTCCTCCCCAAGATAATGTTGTAGGTGGAAGGGACTTTCAATACCCAGAATTTCACCTGTTTTGTCATGGTTCCTGCTTTGACTGGGACGATTATCTTGCCCACTGGCCACTCTGGCATTGAGTTGAATCTGATTAGGGGAGATGTTGCAGGTGCCAAGTCTTTATCCTCCAGTTTCAGTTGTTTGAAGGTTTCGTAATACATTATCTCACATGAGCTTCCTTGGTCGATCAAAATTCGTTTGACGTCGAAATTCTTGACGCCTAGAGTGACAACCAGTGCATCATTGCGAGGGCAATATATCCTTGCTAAATCTTTGTCTGAAAAAGATAAGACATTTGTGGCCTCTGTTCTCCCCTTTTTGATGGCAGGTTGTGCACTTAATACCTCCCTTAAGTGCTCAACCTTTTTGAGCATTCCCATGAGCTCACACACCCGCTCAGGTTCGAATACTCCATGTATTACGTTAATTACACCTTGAGGTGGAGCGTCGACCGGCATCCCGTTTGGAATGTTGTGGTTCTGGGGGGATGGTTGTGTTCCGCCTTCTATGTACTGGTCCAGGTGCCCAGCTGCCACTAACTCCTCCTAATGCTGCCTCAACGGCGTACAGTTTTTAGTGCGGTGCCCCTTTTTATCATGGAAGGTGCACCGGGACCTTTCGTCATAGTCTTTTTGTGCTTCTCCCAACTTGGCTGGCCATCGGACGAAAGGTTTATTGCGTATCTCATTGAGAATTCGACAGATTGGTTTTTTGAACACTGTGGTAATGGCAGTGCGAATTCTTAACTTCCTTTTGTTTACCTCACCCATTCCTGTTAGGTTGTTCTACCGTGTTGACTTTTGCTATAGTCTTTTTATCTGGCATTGCTGTTGTGCCGGATTTCGCCTTGGCACGAGCGTTGTCTTCCTCCACGCGAATATGTTGGTGCACTTTCTCCATTATGGCCTCCATCGTGAGGGGTGGTGTCATAGTAATTGAGTCCCTCAATTTGTTACCAACTGGCAGGCCCATTTGTATTGTGCAATGGCAAGGTTTGTAGGGCAATCCCCAATCTAGTTGAAAGTTTCCCAGCAGCGACTGTTGTAGGACCTCAACGTCTCTTTTTCGCCCATGTCAATGAAGAGTAGCTAGTCAATCTCCACTGGCGTCTTGGTGTTCGTCCTGAATCTAGTCACGAACGCTTCTACCAACTGCGCCCATAAGGTAATGCTGCCCTCTGGTAGCCTTTCGAACCAGGTTAAACCTAGGTCGCCAAGGCTGGATGGGAATAAGATGCACATTAAAGCCTTGTTTCGTCGGTAAACTGCCATAACCTGGCGAAAGTGGCTTAAGTGCATGAAGGGGTCTGTCTTCCCCTCATAAGTGGTGAATTTGAGCTGGTGGAAGCTTGAAGGTAGTGGCACGTTCTCAATTGCCGTAACGAACGGCGAGCTCTGAAGCCTTGCTAATGCTTTGTCTGTTGGTTCATAAGCAAGGTGCAGTATTGGCATTCCTACCTCGACGCTCCCATGCGTTCGAGGGGCTAACCGCTGAAGGGCTGAAACTCTGTACGGGTTGCGTGCCCTGGTATCCTCCTTCCATCGTGTCCTTTCTTCAAGTACAGCTCGTAAGTCAGATGATCTAGGCAACTCCATGTGCCTAGATGACGTCTGGTATGTGTGCGAGGGCCGATAGGTGCTTCCCTCAGTATAAGATCTCTCAGTTCTCATTCTCTTAGACCTGAAGTAATGAGTCTTGGAAGTCTTTGATTGAGTGTCGCTCGTTCTAAGGCTCTTACTCTCTGTTTGCGATGGTGTGGTACGCCTACCATGATCTTCCGAGTGGCGAGGGGGCGTGTTGTCTTTGCGCCCCTCTTCTGTTGCCACCTCTTTTCCTTTTATCTGGCGCTTCATTGACTCCATGTCCGCCGCCATCTTCCTTATTAACTCGTCCTGCTCCTTCACGCGATGCTCCAGAACTTGAGGGTCCATCCTCCGCCTCTGTCTTTCAGAACTTTGAGAGTGACAGGGGCTGTTAGCCCGTCTCTCCCTTACATCCCTCTGGGGGTTCTGTCGCTGGGGTTCTAGATCCGCCATGGGAGGTATAAAAGGCAAGCCTTCGCGCCTCTCACCCCCCTCTGGGATTTGTCCGTCAATAGCGGATTACGGCAAATCTTCATTGTGCGCCATTGCTTCCAATTAGAAAGGAAAAACTTGATCAAGAGGTTTTGTTCTTTCTGGAATTCCCACAGATGACGCCAATTGTACGAGCACGAAATTATCTTCTCGCATAATCCTATTGATCAAGTCTGCGCTTCCCCAAATGTCATCGCTTTACTCCCTGAAAACACAAACGTGAGCTAGCCGGCGAGTGTATGCCGGATACCTCTCCGATGCCTAAGTCGGCAAAATAGACAAAAGCTCTGTGTATTCAAGAATCAAAGTTGTGTTACCTCTACATAGGTTCTGTCATGAGCTCTTATGGTTTTTGCCTGGCACAATCCTAGTAGGACTCTTATTTCTTTATGTAGAGTCCTCCTAGGAATCACACTCCTAAAAGATAATGCTTATCCTTCAACACCCCCCTCACTGCTTAAACCAAGTGAGATGGTTTTATCTCGGTGAAATGACAATATAACCAAGCTAACAATATCTCTTTGTCATACTCAATCCAGTACCTTCACATGCAACTCATAGCTCGGCTCTTGTTCACTTGTACCTCGATTTTTTCCGTTGAGACCGAGCTAACTACAGCAAGCTCTGGCCGCGCTAATCAGGGAAAGGTCCACCATAAGAAGCCATAATACCTTGGTTCCAAACACTGTGGCCGAGCTAATTACCAATCCAACCGGGGTGACTGAGCTAATTACAAGGCCCTTTTACTCAGCCCTTTTTACTGCGGCCCACAGAACGGCCCATTACTATGCTTTGTCCTAGCTTGGCCCTAATGCACATAAAAACTCCCTCTCAAGATTGATTCTAGGTGTAACCCAAATTTAGATTAATTTTTCGACGTGTACTTTTTAGGCTCCCTAGCTTTTTCCTTTATTTTTTGAGTAACTGTTTGAACTACTTTCTTAAGTTCCTTAGTAGTTTGTCAAAATAAAAAGAATGAGTATTTTCAGATTTTTCATTGTTTTAATTTAAAGAAACACGAAAAATAAAAACATATCCAAAACACATAATTTTTGGGAGTAAATGTGAATAACTACTAATTACTTAAATTTTAATTATATTGTCTCCAAGAGGAAGTTGAACAATCCATTTCTGATGCATATATGCAAGTGATGTTACGAACTCCTCTCCGTCCCATAGCAGAGCCTAATGAGATTTCATCGTTGGTAGCATTCCTTTGCCTTCCTGCTGCTTCGTACATCACCGGACAAGTCATTTGTGTTGATGGTGGATATACAGCAGGTGGCTCCTAGGAAACTGATATCTCAAAAAAAATATTTTAAGTGCACATAATTTGATCATAGAATTAGATATAATATAACTGTTTTGTATGGGGTGAGACTTATTCATTTGGTTGGGCTCACTCAATATAAAAGAGTTATGTCTGATTATGTGATCAAGTTATGTGCACTTAAAATGATATCAATGTAAAAGAATATCTCCAATAATATAAAATATTGTGTTATTTTATAAGTTGCTCCAAACTTCATGAATATTTTGCTAGTGGTGAAATTTCAAGGGAAAAAAAAGTACAAATTTATTTTATTTATTATATTTTTTGTGTATTTTTAGAACCAAAAAAATAAACGTTTATTTCTTTCATTTTGATACAAAAATAAAATTTGAAAATAGTTTGTCAATCTTTTCATGTTAGTTTTAGTTTAAAATTTTGAAAAGTTAAAAAGGTAGAAAATAGAAACGATAGTAAATGCTTTCCAAATTTTACAAATTTCTATGAAAAAAACTTCACACTCATCAGTATCCATCGAATTGTGTTACATGTACAAATTAGTGCATTAACTAATGTATTAATTGATGATGTGACCTAATTTAAGATATTTTTGGTAAATGTAATTTGTATAATGAGTGGGGTTAATAATAATATTATAACTAGTATTGATGTACACTAATTAGTACACTAACTTGTGTATGTAGCATCACTCAAAATTATTAAGTAGGTCTAGAATATTATATGGATATGTATCCGATTGATAGTATTTTGTGATATATATATATATATATATGTATGTATATTTAATTTTCTAATTATGTATTTACATAATTCCTTGATATTAGGCGATCACACAAATAATATGATATTACGTCATTATCGACATATGATATCACTAATCACTAGTAAAATAACATATGAAGGGTGAACTCCACATGTAAATATAATTAACACTCTAGTAATTTTTACATATATATAATGAGATTAATTATATTTGCATATCAATAGCTATTACCTTTATGTTGAGATTTTTTTCACAAAATTTTCATATACAAAAATATAATTTGTTGTAATCAGTTTATTTTCAATAAAACAATCACTATTATTTTCATAAATTTAAAAATACCCTTGACATTTTATTCTAAATGTTATTTTTGTTCAAAATTTTATTATATACATATGCAAAATAAAAAAATATATATATAAAAAATATATAAAAAAAAAAACCAAGGAAGGCACGTGACCCCCTGGTCACATGGTGGCTCTGCCAACGAGTATAGGTTTATAATATAGTTGTTTTATTTATGGTTTCTAAATTTGAATTTATACTTTTATTTTGTCTTTATTTAAAAAAAAAAATCCATGATTTGCATCATTTAAATATTTCTTTTATAATGAAATCAACCTTTAAATGTTTATTTTTTATTCTTTCTGATAATACTTCTTAATTTATTTTTATTAGATTTTTGTGTGTGTACGTGTGAGATAAATTTGTGTACAAATATGTAGAATGTTTACTTATTTTTTTGATGAAATCTCTTAATAAAATACTTGTTTTTCTTTGGGAATGACCATCATAGTTCAAATCGGTGTCATGGTTAGAGTCGGAAATTAAGTTTGTTAGAGTTGCGGCATGCGGGAGTTGGGGACACTATTATAGACATAACATTTTACTTTATTATTATTCCTTTTAAGTCAAAATCTTGGCTCCAGCCACAAGTGGGGGTTGTGAGGTAGTCATTGTGGGGGAAATAGTGGAGGTGGAGTGGTGGTGACAATGATGGTGGTAGTAGGATGGTGGTGCTGGTGCTAAAGTGGTAGAGTGATAGTGGCGGCGGCAATGGGGTGAGATTTGTCAGGATGGTGTGCCATATAATTTTGCATTCCAAAAAACTAAAGAAAATAAAATTTGAATAAAACTAGTAATATATTGTTTGTTTTAAATGCAAAAATCACTTTAGGCCTCCACTCCACTTGAGCCGCCCTGTTACAAACATAATCTTTCATATTTTTAACTTTGATCATTGGCTATTTGGTGAAATACAACACAAAATCTAGAGCAATGCTTGGTAATTTGAATATGAGCTTAGCTCAAATGGCTCAAAATTTATCTT